GGCTTGGGTTTTTTTTTTTTTTTTTTTAATTAGCCTGGGCATAGTTCCTGTGCTGTCCTGAGTTACTCACTGCCTTTGTACGCTGTTGATCCAGCTGCCCACACAACCACTCAAAACAGTCAGCAAGTGAGAAATCTGCATCTCTCTAAGACCTTGATTTTCAACTTCCCTAATGCTGCGACCTTTTAATACAGTTCCTCGTGTTGTGGTGACCCCAACCGTAAAATTATTTTTGTTGCTATTGCATGTAATTTTGCTATGAATCGTAATATAAATATCTGATATGAAGGATGTCGGCTGTGCGACTGGCCCAAAGGGGTTGAGACCCACAGGTTGATAACCACTGCTCCACATTGCATATATGTAAGCAAATTAAGATACCCCTTTTTTTTCTTGTTTTTGCCATGGCTCATCCTTATGGCACACCTTACCTTTATGTGACTTCAGCTGGCAAGAGGGGGAGCGGTAGACAGAGCATGTCATTTACATCCCTCTGAGATGGAAGCTAGATCACCATGGGTAGTAAGGGGAAGAGGACTCATGTTTAAAAAAATAAATAAATAAATAAACAGAAAAAACTATGTTATCACAAATGTTAGGTGAGAACAGACGTGTCGGGGTTAAAAGAGTTATTGTGGGAACATTAGACAGGAAAAACTGAAGAACTTGCAGCTAAGCATCCTGTAACTAAGCTGGCTCTATAAGAGGAAGGGTCAGCAGCATTAGCAAACCAGTTGCCTCCTGCCTCTGCCTTGAGGAGCATGTGCAGGACACTGCTGGCCTTTTCACGTGTTCTTGACACTAATGCAGCCAATTGCAAAAGACTGAATAGTAAGTAAGGACAGTTTCTAGAAGCCTCTATTCAGTTTAGGAAAGAGACTACCTATAACACAGACATGTAGTTAAATACGAAGTAACAAAGAACAATCTCGGCTACATCTTGGTTGCTGTGATAAGAATTAGCTCCATGGTAATACTGTGAGCTGGCCCCATAAATGTGAGAACAAGGAGCACAGACTAATCAACAGTCTGCAACACCTGCAAGGTGTGTGGTAACAGTGCCTGCCAGATCCAACAGCTAGCAGACGGTCAAGGTCAACAGCTGACAAAGCAGAAGTCAGATATAGATTAGTGTGTGTGTGTGTGTGTGGTGTGTTTGTGTGCAGGGGTGATGGGTAACTCATGAACACATGGCCATTTCCTGACTGGACCAGAACACAGATGTCACCCCTAAAACAGCCAAATCTGTACTATTATTCCCAGAGTGCTAACCAATCTGGATAGAAATTACCTGTTTTCATCCAGTTTCTACTATGAATACCAGAATGGCGAAATTAGAAATACAGGGATTCCCACAGGATCATTGCCACGATGCAACGAATGGGCCAAAGGATAGGTCAACCAATCTATGAACTTCTTTCATCTTAATTTGGGGTTGGTTTCTACCATTGAATAATAAGCTAACATGGAAAAGTTCACAGTGATTATTTTAACTGTGTCAAGCTAATTAATTCTGGTATTTAAGATATATGAACTAAATATTTCATAGAAATGGAATCGCATTATGAAGAAAATTTTGTCCATCTGGTTTTGTACACTTACTGTTGTGGTCAGTCACCCACCCTAAACATGTGTTTCTCATTCAGCCCATGTATTGCTTTCTATAGAAATGTGAAATACTGAATAGGTCATGGTCATGGTCAGCCCTCTTTACAGCCATGTTCCAGGCATGTGACCTAGGCACAACTGATGAAATTCTATGTTTCATGCTGTGATATGGAAACTACAGACTTGTAGAAACCCCCTCAGGTAACTGCACATAGTTTCCATGGCGACCCTTCATTGCTGAAATCTCTGGTAGGGGAAGCTATAGAAAACCCTACTAGCTCTGCTACAGAGATAGCAGCAGAGTGACTTCTGTGAGGTTTGGGGTGGTGTTCCGTAAAGGCAGCGTCAGAGCCTAATTTTGCTGGACTTCCTGGAACTACATGATCTCTCCATTATTCAAGAGTGGGGGCTTTGCCTGCAACTAAGAATCTTGCAGGGTTCATTCTCAGATGCAGTGAGTGCAGTTCTTTCCATGGTAGCTTCTGGAAGCTCTTGTATGGAAATGCCAGGCTTCATTCTGTAATGCCTATTCCTGGGCTAAGAGTCATTTCGGATGAGTTCTAGGGCTCTGCATTTTAATCAATCAATCAATCAATCAATCAATTAATTCATTAATAAAAAACAGGGTTTCATAAATGCTAGGATGCCTTGAACTTGATATGTAGCTCAGAATGTCCTCAAACAGAAGTTCTGATTCTCCTGCCACCACCTCTTCAGAAATAATTCTACTTTTACGAAGCCGGGTGACTAACTAGTATTTCTTTGTTCTCATGCACCACCACCACCCCATTCACATTGTCTGGCACTTTTCCTTTTTGATGTTTGCGACAAGATGAAGATCTCACTTAGCCCAGGTTGGCCTTCCGTATTTCTATGTAGCTCTCTTTGTAGCTGAAACTGACTTTGAACTCCTGATCCTCCTGACTCTACTACCCCATTAATGCCGAGGTTACAGACATGTGCAACTACAATAAGCAGGGAGTCTCTTCGGCCCTTAAGCTCTGCTGTTCTCTGAGAACTGAGAAGTGGCCGCCCCAGTGAGAGTTGCCTGCCTTCTGCATCAGCCATGTCATGGTGCCACAGTCATGAGTTCCCATTGTGACTTGTGACTGTAGCTCGCCAGGGCAATTTCTTTCCTGAGCATCTTTGTAACTCAGAGTCCTGCTCAGCATTCACTCCAAGGTTAACTGGAAGCAAGAGGAGATGGGTTAGACCTGAGGGGTGGAGTTATTTCCTTTGATGGCTTTCTATGGGGTTGTGATGAAAAATAACAAAAATAACTTTGGAAGAGTTGATTGGTCTGAATGGAGCTTTCTGAAATCACAGAATGTTACAGCTTAAAAGACTGTCATTTTCCAGAGTTTCCTGAGTGAGAAGAAGATGAATGTCCAAACATGACTGGGTTAGAGGTGGAACATGAGGATGAAGAGCTTAGCTTACATTGATGTACAAAAGAAAGGCTAGCAGTTGTTGAGTTAAGATATGTTCTTCCTGGATAATGAGACTGATGACTACCTTATATGCTATCCTAGAGCTCTCATCCAGTAGCTGATTAGCAGAAGCAGGCACCCACAGCTAAACACTGAGCCATACTCCTGGATTCCAGTTGCAAAGAAGGAGGAGCAAAGGTCAAGACCAGGCCAGAGAAACCCACAGAAACAGCTGACCTGAACAAGTGGGATCTCATGGACTCCAGACTGATAGCAGGGAAACCAGTATAGGACTGACCCCAGACCCCTTGAACATTGGTTTTAGTTAGGAGGACTGGGCAATCTATGGGGCCTCTGGTAGTGGATCAGTATTTATCCCTAGTGTACAAATGGACTTTGGGAGCCCATTCTACATAGAGGGATACTCTCTCAGCCTAGACACGTGGAGGAGGCCTACGCCCTGCTCCAAATGATATTGGGACTTTGAAGACTCCCCACAGAAGGCCTCACCCTCCCTGGGGAGCAGAAAGGGGATGGGATATGGGATTGAGGGGACCAGAGAGGAGGGGAAGGAGAGGGAACTGGGATTGACATGTAAAACAAATTTGTTTCAAATTTAAATTTAAAAGGGGGGAGGGAGGTAATTGCCAGGCGACTTCTAGGTTTCTGTAACCCCATGGCATAAACCAAATGGCAACACTCATAAACTTCCTGGTGTCACTTTGTCCTCAGAGGATTACTCTATTAATATTAAGAAAGTGACATCAGAAAAAAGAAAAAAGATTTGAACTTGGGCATACCCAGGTAACACTGTTGAATTCTAGTTTCCTCAACTGAAAAATAAAGCTTCTGATCATTTTAATGGTTATAGAATATTGGCTGTGGAGTAGGAACTCTTTATAGTTTACCTGCTAACTCATTTAATCCTCGTTGCAGCCATACCATTGGTTCTAAAACTTCTTTATTTTTCAGACACCCCAACACTAGAACTTAACTGTAGTCACAGAGCTGGCTGGTTTTCTATTGCTACCATATTCATTTCCTTGAATTTAATGGCTAACGATAGTCTGTACTCATCTCAGGTTTTTGTGGGACATGTGTCAGAGCCTAACTTACCTAGGTTCTCTGCATGTCATCTTAAGGCCGCGGTCAAGCTGTTGACCTAGTAAGGACAGCCTAGGGATCTATAACTTGGGTGTTGAAGCTCTTGTGGTTTTTTGGTAGAATTTGCTTTCTGGCAGCTGCAGAACTCTTGGCATCTGGGTCTCAAAACAAGCAGAGCACCTGCTTCTTCTGTTCAAAGTCTTACTTTCTTTGATGACAACCTCACGGTAGCCTGGGTTTTAATTAACTTATCACCAGCTGATTACTGGGCTGTGATATATCTGTCATAAACCCACATCTTTGATATATGATGGAACATAATCACAGAAACAACATTAATTTATCATGTTGGATAGGCAGAAGGCCCTCTAGAACAGGTCTTGTCCATTCTCAAGGCAAAGAGACTCCACAAATAGTGGTTCACAAGGACAGGACTCACAGAGCTGTCTTATACCTCTACCAAATGCAACTTTAAGTTCTATTTAAACCCAGGCTCTGCTCCAGTCAGTGACTTGGCATTCTTGCCCATAGAAACTATGTTCTTTTTCCTTTTGAAGGAAGTGAGCCTGCTTTGTATATTGCCTTACATAGCATTCCAAATTAACTAACACACAGCAGCTTCATATACTCTGCACATCAAACATTAATTCCCTGCATCCCTTTGCCTTTGAAGAAGATCAGTTTTGAGAACCCACAACCACCCATGGTTTTGTATTTTCTAGAGGGCTCCATAGTCTCCCTAGGCACTCTGGTTGTATAAGGTTTTCAAAGTGTTCACGTCCTTTTGAACTTGGAACTTGGGGATTGAGACGAGATCTCATCGAGTAACTTCAGCTTTGCTCTGTGTCTTTGAAACAGATGAAGTGATTGGGAAGAAAGAGTGAGCCCCTTGCCTTTGCAGACAGGACAGCATGGAGCAGCCGTTCACTGTGAACTCGCTGGTAAGTCCTGCCAACTGACACTTTTTCTATGGTTGAAAAACTCCAAAAGAAGAACAGAAAGGACCAACTGTGAAAAGAATCACAACCACTTCAAGAAGCATAGCACTTCCTCCTAGCCTTCCGTGTGGCTGTGTCCCTCGAGGAAGTGACTAATAAAGCCATCTTTGCAAGACAAAAATAACGTTTTACTCACAACTCCGTGAAATTTTAATCTGTGCGGCTGAGTTCTAAGCATGTCAGTCATTTCAGAGTGGACATCTCCTTGAGTACTTCAATCTCAGCTTCTTTAGAGATAGAAGTTGTAGGCTTGCTTTGAGTGGTAACAACTAGAAAAGCATTACATGTTCCGCAAGGCCACGATGCTTGTGCGTCTTCCTTACGTGAAACTCTTGCTCTTCTCATTTTCCCTCTGCAGCACTTCAGAATTCACAGCTTTTCCAGCTGAGGCTGGAATGAGGGATGAGCCCCGAAATGTGGTGTGTTGGAGAGGAAGTAACCAGGGCTTTGAGATCGCATGTGCTTGCATGGTGTCCCAGATCAGTCCCTAAATGTGAATATAGGCATACTACACAATCTCTTTGGCCTTCCTTTGTGCTGTGTTCTCAGCCTATCATGGTAACTTGATAAACGGAAGCTGTTACATTTGTCTTCCAGACGAAACTTACTCGCAGCGATAGTGGCCCTGAGGATGACAGCGGTCTGAAGACCCTGTCCACACAAAACACAGACCCTGGACACATAAAGAACCTAAAGAATCATAAGTCCCTGAACTGAAGTGGGTTGTGACAAGAATGCCTTAATCCTGAGCAAGAACCACATTCTCAGGAACGCAGTTATTTGTAAGCTGATTGAGAATGAGCTCCTGCAGAAACCTTTGGATTTTCTGACCCCACAGGGTCATTTCACTGGTGTATAAAAATAGCAAAGTCTCCCTCTCTACCCCTGCAGACAAAGCAGTCATTTTTATAGGTACCACGTGTTCTTCCATGATCTTGTATTGAGATAATTTAAATTATGTTGTACTTGTTAATATAAGATAATGTATTAAGGGATACTTTTTTTTTTTTAATGTGGGAAATTGGTGTCATCATCCAAAAAGTTCACATGCAAATGAGATATTAAAGACCAATGGTATTAGGCAACTTCCCAGTGTATTTTTGATAATCTAATTCTCTCTGTCTTTCTCTCTAGACTGTGGATCAAACCCAGGCCCTGTGTGTGCTAAGTCCACACCCTTTTCACTGATCTCTCTCTCTCTCTCTCTCTCTCTCTCTCTCTCTCTCTGGAAGATTAACTCTGTTTCATGGAATATGCTGAATCCTAGAGAGTAATAGAAATTACTCTAGTAATAGAAATGACCCCAGGCAGTTAGTGAAGGGTAAGAAACAGCTTTATAGAAGTGATTGACTCATTGTGAACTATAAATAATTCTTGTTTAGAAGTTCTCCTTAGACAATGCTCTGATTGTTAAATCTTATTGAGAATGTTTGTTTTTGTCATTGAGACAGTTATCTATTGCTGAGTGATAATACTTCCATTTAGTGACACCGAGTTTTTCAGGGGAGTTTTAATGGAGGGAACATGGATGAGTTGCTGGAGTGCTAGAGAAATCTCATTTGGAAAAGACTAGATACTGATGCTAAAGATGTACAGTTCACAAGGTTCCGTTCCTGTGTTTGCTGTAAGGAAGTCTTCAACAGTTTCTCTGAAATTAGAAAATTATTCAGAAAACTACAAGAACAGTGCCATAAGGTGTAAACCAAAGTAAGAATGTGTGTAATTCTTTTTCTATGATTCCTAATAGTTTATTTGTTAATTGATAGAATATATTTAAATGTTTTACTAATTTTTAGAGAACTCCATTCATTCATATAATGTATTTAATCATATTAACCCCCTGCTCCTCTCCTTACACTTCTCAGAGCTATGATCCACCCACACTCCCTCCAAACTTTATGCCTTCTCGTTTTAATAATCCACAGAGTCCTATTTTACTTTCTGCAAACTCATGGGCATGGGGTGCTAGAGCATGATTAACCTACCAGAGGGCCACACTTTTAAGGAAAACCAAGTCTCCTCTCCAAGAATCCATCAATTGTCAAGAGCTCATCAGCCAGAAGTGGGGGTTCTTGTGTCCCTTCCCCCTCACCTTGGAGTCTTGATTGATTTCGTCTTGTATAGGTCTTGTGTAGTTGACCAGATTTTTCTGAGTTCATGAGTGCATCTTTTGCACCTTCTTGACCACTGATTCTTATATCTTTCTGCCTCCTCTTCCATTATGGTCCCCAAACCTCTAAGGGTCTACAATTATAGATGTCCCATTTGTGGCTGAGCACTCCATAGATACTTACTTATTCTCTTTACTTTGACTAGTTGTGAGTTTCTGCATTAATGGCCGTCCACTGCACAAATAAACATCTTTGATATGGCCTAAGAGTTGCACAAATCTATGGGTATTTAACCAAACAGTGCATGAGAGTTCCCTTTTTCCCTACATCTTTTTCAGTATTTGTTTTATTTTGTGCTCTAAAATTTAGCCATTCTGACTGGAGTATAGTGAAATCTCAAAGTAGTTTTTATCTGTAATTCCCTGATAGCTAAGGATGGTCAGCATTATAAAAATATCTCCTGGCCATCTGTATTTCTTATGGGAACTCTCTTCTCAGTTCCTTAGCATATTGTTTAATTGGGTTGTTTTAGTAATGTTTAGTTTATTGTGTTCTTTCTATATTACCTCTACCAGGTATATAGCTGGTGAATATTTTTCTTTTTAATTCAGTTCTGTGGTCTGCCTCTTAGTTAACAGATTACTTTGCAGCATAGACGCTTTTCAGTTGCATGAAGTACCACCTGTTGATTGTTGATCCTATTTCCTAGGCAAACAGGGTTGTATCAGAAAGTACATTGGTACTATCATTAACTCTTATAGAAGGATTTTCTGAAGTATTCGTAGTGGGTTTGTGGTACAGAAATGACATGAATTAAAGTTCTGTAATTTGAAAAAAAACTATAATCAGATATTTAAATGTTGCATTGCAGAAAAAGTTAGCTGCTATGCCTGATCATACAGATGTCTCTCTAAGTCCGGAGGAGCGGGTCCGTGTTCTAAGCAAGCTTGGTTGTAACATCTCCATTAATGAAGACATCACCCCACGCCGTTACTTCAGGTCCGGAGTAGAAATGGAAAGGATGGCATCTGTGTATTTGGAAGAAGGAAACCTGGAAAATGCCTTTGTTCTTTATAACAAATTTATAACGTAAGTAAGTCTTGTTTTTGAGGGCTTTAGAATGAGAACCTTGAAGCAATATTTATATGATATTTTGACATGAACATTTGGATACCGTTATAGTATTCATATTCAAACCAGTTTAACCATTTTCAAAAACTGAAATATCTATGTTGATATGCATTGAAATAAAAGAGATATTCTCCGTGAACCTCTGGAATGAAAAGAAGGTCAGAGGGCTTGAGACTCTCAACAGCCAGCTTAACCTGTCTCTTTCTTCACAACTGTAGTTTCACATTCATACATTTTCCTCCCATAGGAACATCAACTTTCTGGGAGCAGAGGTCTTATTACTTCATCTAAAGCACAGAGGGTCTTCCATCAATATTTTACAATTTTGACTTGAAGGGTGTTAAGAAAGGGTCTTCTAGGCAGTGAAATTACTAAACTTGTAAGGGAAGTCCAGAAGCACTTATGCTAACTGTGAAGGTTAGGATATATTACTAACAAACGTTTGAGGGGGGATGAACTATCTTCTAATGGGTATTATTGTGTGGTCACTTTTGCTCGATATTTTGGAAGCTCTTTTGTATACTGAATTCTTGCATAAACAAGCACATGCTTTCTCAAAACCAGCTGCAATTCTATGTGAAATGAACCAAATCTCTCCTATGCTCCCCATTTCACAGTTCATTTATTTCTTATTGAAAAATAGTTGTGTATAGTCATGATGTTTTTATTTGCCTACATATTTTTTGTTTCTTTTACTATTAAAACTTAATTCATTCCAAGAAAAAAAAATGAAGGTTTTTTTTTTTTTTTAATTTTTACTACCCTTATTTGTGTATTAGAAGAATAAAGTACACCCTTTTGGTATTTACATATAGCAAGTATTAATCCCAAGTTTGAAGAGGAAGGAATATTTGCTTATAAGAAACAAATGTAACAACAACAGCAGCAACCACCAACCATGGTTCATCCTAGTAAATTCAAGTTTAGAGGTGTATTATAATGAAATATTTATGAAGTGGAAAGGAACTGTACTGTCCAAAACAAGCTTTTTCCTTCAGGATTTCGGACAGTTGAAAAAGAGACAGAAGATGTTGATGGACTGGAGAAAGACTAAAATGTAGCGGATCCAGATGACATTAAATTTTATTGCCTACATATTTTTCAGTGGTTAAATTAAGCTAATTAATTTACTATACATCTCATACTTGCCATTTTTTTCGTAGTGAGAATATTTAAAAATTCATTGCCTTGGGAACTTTCTAGAATATAGTTCATTATTTATAGATACCATGTTGTACACCAGCTCTCTAAACTAACTACAATTTTGCACCTTTAATGTTTTAAAAAAGTGTGTGTACGTGCATAAGATTGCCATATGTACGTGTGCATGTGTATGCATGAACACAAGTGTGTACATGCCACAGCATACATGTGGAGTACAGAAAACAGCCTCATGTGTCAGTACTCCCTTCCACCTCGTTTGGAGTCAGGGTTTCATGTAGCCCAGACTCACTGAAAGATACCAGATACCCAGGAAAGGATGAAGATGAATTCTTGTTCTTCTCCCTCTACTCCTTTGTCTTGAAGACCACAAGTGTACACCACTATGTGTGGTATAGCCTTTGTCTTTTAAAACTCCTTAATGTAAATGAGGTCAATTTTAGTCAGTAGTTCAGTTGGCAGCTTTTATTCTGAAAACATTCAAGTGAAAGAACAAAATATTAAAAAAAACAAAACAACAAAAAAGAACAAAAAAAAAAAAAAAAAAAAAACCTTTTTAATGATTCCACCAAGGATAAAGGCAAAAAAAAAAAAAAAAAAAAAAAAAACCCACGTATTATTTAATTTCCAAGTTAATGAGCTCAAAATCTAGCATGGAAATTTAAAGAATTGGTGACTGCTTCAATCTACCTGGGAAAAATCAATGGTTATCAGGAAGTTGCACAATAATTATGAAACTCAGGGTTGTCTACCACAGTTTATGTCCAAAATGCTGTAAAAGTTTTGGTTTTTGAATTATATTTTCAATAGGTCATAGAATCAGACACACACACACACACAAAGTAAAAAGTTGTTGAGTGTAGATTTTTTTTTTTTTTTTAAGAATGCTCCTTAGAAAGTATCACTAGCCTTTTGCTGTCATGGAATGCTAATGCTATAACGTGGTAAATAAGAATCTGGGAAACAATAGGCTGATGGATGTTTTTTCGGGGAGACAGCACTTATATCAGAAACAGATGACTGCCACAGGTTCCTGTTCCAAGGATGCCTCTAGATGCTCTCTGTCTCCAGCCAGGAAGCAGGAGAGCGAGCTGGGGTCCTGGACCCCAGACCTAGTCCCCCCTGGTCATGCCCACACCTGTCCCCATGCTCCCAATGGGCATGGTCAGTGCAACAGGTGTAGGCGGAGGGATATCTCACTACCCAGTGCCATGTTTTTTCTTTCTCTAGATTGTTTGTAGAAAAGCTTCCCAGCCATCGAGATTATCAGCAATGTGAAGTACCGGAGAAGCAGGATATCATGAAGGTACACTGGGTTATCTTTCACTGTGAGATCAAATGCCCTTAAGGATATGTTATTGATTCATAGCTTCCTTCTTGTCTTGTCCTCAGGAGAGTTTAAGCACAAGAACCCCATTTCTTCAGCCGTGACATTTTGATTTCCTCCTAACAAGCTTAATGGTTATGACTGTGGCTATTCAAGGTGTCTAATTTACATTGGGAAAAAGGAGAAAGGAGAGTGTGCTCCATCAACTTACGATGTAAAGAAAGAATTCTTTACAAGTTCTTCAAAAGATTGACAGAAAGATTGTTCCATGTGTTAACCTGAAGCAGCCATTTCTACTTTAGATTATTGCCCCAGGTTGAAATAACTATGTGAGAATCAGGGGGTGATTTTTGAGGTAGCCATAAGTTTTATCTAGCTGTGTGCATGAAGTCTCAACCCCTGAACCCTATGATGACAATGGTCCCATTAACTTCTATTGCATTGTGACATTGTAACTGCCTTAGTTTATGTATATGCTATGACTTTCACATAGTAATAAAATCACTGAAATATAAGTTTCCTAGGATATATCCCTGTTGCTAAGTGGTGTGTAACCATTTACCTCCTGGAAAGAAATTTTGGTGGGAGGGTTTAGCTCGAGGGAAGAATTTGGATCCTTGTCCTAACTAAACCATTAACTACTTGTACAAACCAATCTCATTAGGCTTTTGCTTCCTTTCCCCCACAAGGGAGGGTACGACTGGACTCTTTCCAGTTCCCTGGGTTTTCTTGTCAATAAGAATTGTGAGGCAGTAGTAGATCTGGGATTAGCCCTGGAATATGAATAGTTATGAAATACTTGGCTGCTTTTTACATCTGACTTGTAGGAATCCATACGCACTATATACCCTTTCATTTCTCCCTTGTAATGCCAATAGTAACTGTTCCCAAAGACAATGTGAAATTCTATTGATACCTGCCTAAACAAAATGCTTATCTAACTAGTGCTCAATCGAGATCTTACAAAGGGAGGAGTGTGTGCACACACGCGCGCGCGCGCGCACACACACACACACTTTTTTTTTTTTATTGCTAAAAGCTGTATTTTGGAGTAGATTTACTTTTCTGAGATTATCTTTGCTTCTTATAACTTGATTTCTAATACACATCCCAGCTGTTTTTATTCTCAACACTCTGAATGAGTGTACTGAAAAACCCCACTAACTGATGTGTACATGTATTTTTGAAAGAAACTGAAGGAGATTGCATTCCCAAGGACAGATGAATTGAAAAAGGACCTGCTGAGGAAATATAACACAGAATACCAAGAGTATTTGCAAAGCAAAGTAAGTTCAATAGGGACGTTTATTTCTTCACTCTTCTTGCTTTTATGAAAATGGCTTTTGAATTTCATTTCTGTATGAGGTTTTGAATTATATACAATTAAATTAAAAATTAAAGATGCAGTGATATGAAACTAATAAAAGATTCAGGTGGATGTCCAGATAAAGCATGTGTGCTAAGGATGTGGTATTTCCATTTCCTGAAACATCTAATAGAGCAATGCATTAGGAAATACATTTCCTACAGTGATTTAAATGGCGCATCTGACCTACTCCTGCCAGTGTAACCTTGAACCAGATGGCTGATCCATTTTTTTTCACCCAGATGAACAGAAGGAAGCTGCAGAAAGTAGAAAAAAAAACAGAGCACAGTTTTTGATGTGGATTTTGTTCTTAAATAGTACAATCAACATTTCATCAAGACAGAACAGCTAACTGTGTGGGGGAAACATGGTCATAGTTCCAACAGATGCCAGTTTCTGGATTGTTGTTACATACTGAAGGGAGACTGGAGGGCAGTGAAAGGGGAGGCTACCCAGTAAATCTATAGGGTCCTCAGATTCCCTGTGCTCAGGTCTTACAAGCTTATTAGAAGTACTGCTTTGCTTCTTTGTAGTTGGGTGACCATTTGCTTTGGAGGTAGCCAGCCAGCTTCAGCAACTCTCACTTCCCTTCATTCTCTGCTAACAGGCCTGGAGCTTCTGGGGCATAGCCCGAAGGCTGGCTGGCGTGAGGTGTTTTAGCTAAAATGTAGAGGGAGTACGGATGGTGCTCCTGGGAGGTCTCCCTGGGAGGAGCATATGAGACAGCTGTGCCATGTTCTACTGTGGCAACACCAGTGGCTTTGCACAGTCACAGCCCACAGTTGTACCCCACGTGCAAATTTCTGCAGAGGTAGAGTGGCAGCAGCCAAGGCTAAGGGGGAGGATTCAGTCTACGTACAAGCCCTGACTTTGGGCAGCACCAGCCTTCCCTGATGCTTATTGGAAATGTAGAATTCATGCCAAATCAGAATTCCTAATGCTTACAAAACCCCGTGTGTGAGTGTGTGTGTGTGTGTGTGTGTGTGTAATATTGTTGAGTCCCCTGTACTCTTCCCATCCTTCAGTAGCTCGCCACTAAGTTTCTATCAACATGAATTGGGGAACTTACTAACTTCTTGGGATCGCTCTATCCTAATAACGCCCAGATATTTTGTTAGGACTGGGTGTTGTGATTCTTAATTTTTAACATGACTGACTTTTGGTTAGAAGAAATAAAAACACTGATAGGAGACATGTGAAACACTTTAGGGAACCACTTCTCTGTGATTCCCTAAGTACACCCAGAAGATGCATTCTACAGGCAAATGCTCAAAGGCCCTTGGGAGCCCCAAGCAAAAGAAATAGAACAGGGGACTTGCTCCATTTGTTGTTTCTATTACAGCATCCACCAGTATAGGAGGCTACTGGGTACCCAGAATGTGGCTAGTGTGTCTGAGAACTGCATTACTGGTTTTATTTCATCTAAATTAGTTTGAATTTAAACAGCAGTGGCTACCAAATTGGGCAGTGCTGTTTAAGGGACGAGATACATTGTTTCAAGACATCAGAGGGGTTAGGAGGACAAGACATTGGTATTATACAGTATTTAGAATGATAGGGAAGTGTAGAACATGATTTCTGTGCTGCATCTCATAAAATATAGTGGCTTTAGAAATTGCTTTCTTTATCAAATTCAGAGTTTTTGCTGTGATGTTTATTTTATTTGTTTTACTATTAATCTCTCTCTCACACACACAAGAATAAAGAATCTAATTTCAGTTTGATGCTTTTTTACTTGGAAACTAACATTTTCTTCTGGCAACCATCTCCTTAGAACAAATATAAAGCTGAGATTCTCAAAAAGTTGGAACATCAGAGACTGATAGAGGCGGAGCGCAAGCGAATAGCTCAAATGCGCCAGCAGCAATTAGAATCCGAACAGTTCCTGTTTTTCGAAGATCAACTCAAGAAACAAGAGTTGGCCCGGGGCCAGATGAGAGGTCAAGACTCCGCAGTGCTGTCTGAGAAGACGGATGGAAGCGGGCTGTCCTGCTTTTCCACCCTCCAGAACAACTCTCTACGGAATGTATTTGCCGATCAGCCTCATAAAAGTGATGGAAGCGATTTTTCCGACCACTCTCCTCCCGTGAACAGGGCCTTAAAGCCAGCGGCCACTCTGAGTGCTGTTCAGAGTAAGTGATGTAGGACAGAGGCACGTCGTCTTTTACTGTATCTGACTTTAAAATCCAACCCACCTAACTTGTCTGATTATAGAGCAGGTCATGTTTTGTTACTGAATAGAGATTGTGGATGAGAAGTCTACACGTTTATTTTCCTACTTTGTATTTTGCTCAAGACACTCTGGGGACTCCAGAAAGAAGATATTGAGAAATTAGTTACTGAGACCTTGGCTCAAAAGTCAGATACTTAAGTGTGGTGTTTAGCATGAGCATGGACCGATGGGGTATCAGGGTATCAGTCTCTTAACAGACAACCTGTGAACCATGTGGGTTTCCAGAGCTGTTAGTGGTGTTAGTTAAGTGCTGTCAGTCATCATTCTAGCAAGTTTCCCAAATCTAGTAGGCAACTCTCTTTGGCAGAGGCACCTGTTGAAGAGTCATAGTAGATAGCCGTTGTGTATGCTACTTTACTGGTAATTGTTTCCAAAAAACATGTTTTGTTTACTGATCTCCCACATTCATTAGACTAGAAGCAGCACATAACAAACCCAATAAGAGATATTCATCCTGTGTCTTATGATATGTGAACTGTGGCCTGTGGGTTCTGTGGCATGTTTGCAATGTGCAGAGAGAAAACACTGGAATGCAACAGTTGCTCCAGAGGGCTATTGTGTAAGAGTGCTGGCTCATTAAAAACTTTCTTATAAGATAATTTTCATGTGAAATACTACCCTCCTTCTAATCAACATTCACTTTCAAGAGATTTGCTCTTTCTTTTTTAATGAACGGTAAAAAATGAAACACCTGCTAATGTTGAAATTTATATTTTAGTTGCTCACCAAAATTCAGTTCTGAAGGACGAGACCCAAGGTTTGTTTTTTATTATGTTTCCCCTTTCTCTGTCTTAGATTTAGTGGTTGAAGGACTGAGGTGTGTGGTTTTATCAAGAGATCTTTGCCATAAATTTCTGCTGCTGGCTGAGTCTAACACAGTGAGAGGAATAGAAACCTGTGGGATCCTCTGTGGCAAATTGGTACGTCTCCTTTCATCTCTCAGCAGGTTGCTCTCGGTAACACTGGCCTCCCTGTGATAAGGAGAGCAGGGTGGGAGCACGTGGGGGGTGGGCTGCAAGTATTATGACAACCTCATATACATGAACTGCCTTAAACTAGTCATTGTTCATGACCTCAGCATTCTAAAAAAGTGAACTCTAAAATTTCAGAAACACCATAAAACGCTGTAAACAGAACATTTAGGAAAATGGTAGATTTCACATCAAGATGCAAGGAATAGCTCAATGGGTAGGGAGGCCCTGAGGCTGGAGAGAGAGTGGTACTACAGAGAGATGGGGAGGCCAGGGGGCCTGGAGATAACATCATCTCACAACCCAGTGACCTAAAATCCCCATCTTTACTTCTAGACCTTTTCCGTCCCACACATACCTTTTCCCCAGGAGAGCGATGTTTTTTCTTTCTTTTTACTTAATTTAGGAGCCATGTTATTTTATTTCTGGAAAACACTGGTGACTCTTAGCAAGGTCCTAATGTTTTCATAATTACATAGAACTAATGAAAAGAAGATAACAACCCCTACAATTTATAGTGACACCTTTTAGTAACACCACACACATTTGCAAATTAGTCCTTGTCCCCCATAGAAACCAGCCTTGCTGTGTGAAGACATTTTCCTTTGTAGGTATAGTATGGCAAGGCATTATTTATTAACTAAACCTCCATCTCTCATTGCTGTCCTTGATGCTAAATCCATTTGTATTTTCTACCATAGAAATGGATTTCAAGCCCCCAAAAGACTGATGCCTGAAACTTTCAATAGAGTCAACTTTTCTGTTTGTTTTTTTTTTGAATTGCTATACTGTTGCATTGAGAGGGGTAGTACAAGTGGTAAGGTCTGCTAGCCAATAACAAAGCATCCCACGCCCCATTCAGGGGTCTCTTCTGTCAGAGACTTGTTACTTGTTCTTGGATAATTGTTTTGTAGACACATAACGAATTCACTATTACCCATGTGATCGTGCCAAAGCAGTCTGCGGGTCCAGACTATTGCGACGTAGAGAATGTAGAAGAATTATTCAGTGTTCAGGATCAACATGGTCTCCTCACACTCGGATGGATTCATGTATGTTTGGCCTTGGGGTTCTGGTTTATTTTTTGTGTGGTGTGTTGTTTTCTTCATACAGAAATTTAGCTGAATGTAAACAGTTTCTTGTTTTTACATTTCCTGGAGTTAATACGTGTTGTGATATTAAAGCAGTTTGTTCATTGCCAGGCTGTGTATAAATTGGTCACATCTGTATTTGAAAGGAGGTAGCCTATACTTTTCTGTTTCATGCAGAATTAAGAAAGGTAGCACTTGACAGTGGACCTTTCTCTGATGGGTTCAGATAACCTAACAGTGATTTAGCCAGGTGTAATAGTTTCCTTTATTGTATGTCTAAATTAGTTTATAATCTTTTTCTGATGATACTTCTTTTAAACAATGTTTGTGTATACCAACAGGAGTCCACACAGTCAGGGCCTGCCCCACAGAGCAGAAGTGTGTACATAAAATGGCTGGGGAGTTGAACAAATGGCTAGGGCCAGAATATTGGATTCTAACATTTCTTGGATCACTGTTGATGTGAAACTGGGCGTATTCATCAAATAGACCCGTTTAAATAATGGGGATGGGATATGTCATTCTGTAAATAGATTTCTCTTATTGGTTACTGAATAAAGCCCTGTTGGCAAATAGGAAGGCAAGATAGACAGGACTAGGAGACAAGGAGGATTCTGGGAGATGTAGTAGGGGAGATTCAAGATTGAGAGAGAAGAGGTCTGGACCCTCTCTGCTGAGACCATGTGGAAACATTTAGATTGTTAGAAATGGATTGATATTTAAGATAGACCTAGCCAATAAGAAACACTAGAAACAGGCTGACCACTTTATATCTAATACAGCGTCTCTGTGTGTTATTTGGGGCTGATGCGGCTGTGGGACTAGGCTGGTGGGAAAACTGCTCATAACATAATGGATTTGTTGGGGCTATAGTGATGGCTCAGTGGTTGAGAACTGGCTGCTACTCCAGAGACACTGAGTTCAATTCCCAGCAACCACATGGTGGCTCTCAACCATCTATATGCCAAAACACTGTGTACATAATAAATTTAACAAATCTTTTTTTAAAAAATGAATTTTCATCATTCTGGATTTTCAAGATTTAAATTGATTTTACTGAATCCAGCTGTTGTGATTAAATGAAAATACACAACTGTTAGTTACATTTCTAAAGCATGGTGAAATCGTGCTGGTTTTTACAGCACACGGTAACAGCAGCCAATCCCAGGGCTAGATCTTCTCTATAAACTTGTCATCAAGAAAAATGTCTGGATGGATCTGGCAGACCTGGAGTTGAATTCTAAATGCCTTTGCTTGTCTGGCTCTTTTGACTTCTAGAAGATACTGTGATGTTCATCTCAGTTATCTCTTTGTTTATTAAATGGGATAGTAACAACAGACCTTAGTGAGAACTCTATGTCTTAATTCATGGAAAGTGATTCCTTTTGAGGCTAGCACTTCATTCCTTTGTAATAAATGGCATTTTCTGCTATTGTCGTCACCATCATCATTTTCCTCTGCAATGGGAGTACCATGCTCCCATGGAAGAAATGTTCTCCTGAACATAAACATGGTTCTTTGAGGCAGAAATGAAAGGCTCTGATGTTTACATGGTGCATCCACTCTGAAATAGAATGATGGGCATAGTAACTTTTCTATGGACAACTTGATTGCTGCCTCCATAGCACAGTGGTTCCGTAGAACACGTCTTCCATGCTGCTATGACATAGACAGCTCTGTTTTACTCAAGGATTCTCTGGCAGAGGCGAGGTGTCAAGCCCTCTTTCTCATTCTTCTATCAAGTCTTTGAGACTACTGGGCGAGTGGCTGTAAGGCAGGGTAAGCATTCAGTGTGTACAGGATTTCATTCATATTATCCTTTGTCTTTGTGTCTTTTCAGTGGCTAAGCTTGATGAGTTTTAAGCACCTACAGCAACTTGGAGACCTCCCTCCCCCTGGTTATAAGGATAAGAGCCATAGACAATGTCATTGATGTGCTATATTTAGTTCTGTTATAATACAAAAGTGTCCAAGACTGCAGGTTTCTGATCTTTGTGGCCATGTTGCTTCATTTTCCTGAGTCTTGAGATCCTTGTATATAGACTGAGATAGATTGTTGCCTCATTAGATTAATGAAGCATCTATTTCATGCCTCTGGCAAGTGAAGCCATCCTCACTCGTTGTCACAAGGAAAGCACATACACTCATAGGAATTTTGTCTCTAAGTCATTGTTATTACAAACAAACAATAGCATGGTAGAAATGGAAGAATTCTATTAGCTCCACCGAATTAATTTTTATTTATGTGTTGCTATTATTATAGTGTATATACACTATATATAGGTATATAATATATAACATATAGTATATCATTATTAGTAGTGTGATGGGTGCAAGTACAGGTGTGTAGGTGCCATGGCATACATGTGAAAGTCAGAGGACCTATTTCAGGGAGTCAATCCTCTCCTCCCATCATGGGTCCCAGAGATCGAATCCAGGTCATTGGGCTTGCTTACCAATACTTTTCCCACTGAGCTGCCTCACCAGCCTTCACCAAAACATGTTTTTCATGTGTGTTTGCTTAGTAAAAATTACAGGAAAAGTTTAAGCAAACTTCCCTAATAGGCTTCCTTAATGAGACTGTTTTCTTTCCCATTTGTAGACACACCCCACGCAAACTGCGTTCCTGTCCAGTGTGGATCTTCACACTCACTGCTCCTATCAGCTTATGTTGCCAGAGGCTATTGCCATTGTGTGTTCCCCAAAACATAAAGAGTAAGTGTGACAAGAGGGCTCCTGAGTCCACCGTGCTATGGTACTTGGATATGAGGCCCTTCGGCAAGGGGTGGGCTGTGGCTAGTTCCTGTGTACCTGTAGCTCTATAATCTGTTGTTGTTTTAAGTCCTTTCAAAGGTAAGCCTGCTAGTTCCCCTTCTGTTAGTGTGATAACGTGTGACAGGGTCACCATACCAGTTGATTTAAAAATTATATATCTACTCTTCTGTGTTTTATGAAAGAAATGTACTAGCCTTCCTCAGTTACCTCCAAAGCTTTCCTAGTTTGGGAATACAAATGTTAACACAAATCATTACCCTCATCTTGGAAAGAATGACCTTTTTCTTGAGCCAGATGTAAGTGGCCATGGCCCATGAACATGGATTCAAGTTGCCCTGAAAACATGTTCTACATTAGGAACTGATGCATTGGATTTTATTGTTTACAGAACAAAGGTAGTTAAAAGTCAAGGCATTTACCAAATACATTGGCAGAAACGGCATGCAGAAAGGTTATAGCAAAGCAGGGGAGAAAGCTGTGCCGTGGGAATCAGATGTTGTCTATTGACATTTGCAGATTTTGGAACAGTAAAATGTCTGTTAAGAATATTTTATAAAACTGTGATCTTCATCACACAAAGGAGGGCGGTGAATAGTTCTGAAGGAAGCTAAACACAGCTCTAGAGAATTTGGCACATAGTATCTACAATAGTCTAACCCTCCACACCGAGAATATCAGTCATCTGACCTTGTATGACAGATCTTTTAACACAGGAATGGCTTTTCTTTTTCTGGAGACTTCAGTTTACAAGTAGTTTTAAGGATCAGAAAGACATTGAAGCCTGCAGGCTGTAGGATACCTGAACACAGTGATCCTGGCTTCTTCATCCTTCATCCTTACATGTCCTGGATTGATGTGAAGGACACTAGATGAGAGTTTCTATGCTGTGTTTATCACAATGTCCAACACTGCCACCTGCCTGATTACTGATGTAAAGAACACTAACATTACAGAAATTGGAACTGTCTGCTGGGGTGGAGAGCATGTGTATGACCTTTCCTATAGGGTCTCGACAGTTCAGCTACCTGTCCATTTTGGGTCTTATGGGTACTTGGAGATCAATGCATCTAATGGTAGTCATGGTGAGGCTAGTTGTAAAAGTCACTTGGAATTCCTGGTTTGTGATTTCTTCCTCCATCTGATTTGAGGAATGTGCCTGTTTATTGTGGAGATATTTTGTTTATGATTTAACAAATAAAGAGCAGAACGGTCAGCCACTAGAGAGTTCTCACCTCTACCACCGAACCCTCAGATTGCATCTCTAGACTGCACTGCTCCTCAGGCTGTAATGAGCTCCTGTCTCCTCCCACCTTATATTCCTCTCTAGTGCTGAGATTAAAGGTGTGGGATCCCAAGTCCTGAGATCGCCTTTGTGTGAGCCCTGTTTCTCTTTTAGACTGGAGCAATTTCATGTAACCCAGGGTGGCATTGAACCAGCAGAGATCCGTTGTCTCTGTCTCCAGAGTGCTGGGATTAAAGGTGTGTCCCACCACTGCTTGGCCTCTATGGCTGTGGCTGGCTTTGCATTCTAATCTTCAGGCAAGCTTTATTTGTTAGATTACAAACAAAATATCACCACAGTTTATGTCTTCCCAGACGGTCTTTAACTTGGTGTTTCTTTCTATTCTCATGCCTAGCACTGGCATTTTCAGGCTCACTAATGCTGGCATGCTTGAAGTTTCCACTTGTAAAAAGAAGGGCTTTCATCCTCACACCAAGGACCCCAGGCTTTTCAGTGTGAGTAGGCATCATGGATGATTATTGTTGTTGTTGTGATGGTGATTATTATTGAGACAGGGTCTTTCTGTGTAACCTTGGAACTCACTATACAGACCAGGCTGCCCTCAAACTCCGAGAGATTCACCTGTCTCCACCTCCTGAGAGCTGTGATTGAAGATATGCACTACAATGCCTGGCTTCATAGCCGGAATTATTTTCACAGATGTTCAGTGTGAATAGACAGCATGGATCACTCTCAGAGATGCTTATGTTGTGTTTGCCCTACCCTAATTCAGCAATATTCATAAAATTGAGAAAAAATAATTAAGGAACTCTCTCTCTCTCTCTCTCTCTCTCTCTCTCTCTCTATATATATATATATATATATATATATATATATATATATATATATTCCCTAAAGAAAACCACGCATTAAACACTATTGTGGAACATTATTTTCCTTTTCTAGATATGTAGCCATGTGCTAGTAAAAGACATAAAAACAATTGTGTTGGATCTGAGGTGACCTGCTCCAAATACAAGACCGCCTGCTCCAGATACCTGCCATGGATATGTGTGACTGCTGAGTTTCTTATGATGTTTCCAGAAGTGACTGATATTTTATATTTATATATTTTAGACCAAAACTTTGATATTTATTGTTCTTGCACATTTTGAAGTTTCTTTTTTGGGTTGCTGTGTCTCAAAGGAGGTCACATGCTGTTCAACCTATACCTATGTACCCAAATAATATCCCCAAAAATAAATTGTGCAGCAAATGGCAATATGTCTATTTGTAAACTTTTATTTAGATTTCTTTTTATATACATCAATGTTTTGCCTGAATTTATATATGAGTACCATGTGCATACCTGATCCCAACAGAGATCAAAAGAGGGCTTTGGATCCTCTGGGACTTAAGCTACAGCCAGCTTGTTGGAAGCTACTATGTGGGTGATAGGAATTGAGCCCAGGGTTCTCTGCAAGACCAACAAGTGTTCTTAACCATAGAACCAACTCTTCTGCCCAATATGTCTGGTTTTTGTTTTGTTTTGAAAACAATCTTTGCACTTCCCAAGCTGACAGGAAGGGGGCTCCCCACATAAGTAACTACATAAGTCTGTGACACCCTTGGTCCCCTCACCTGATGACTGCTGATAGCACTGTCTGCACACAGTTTTAAAGGAAAAAAAAAAATAGTGGTGATGCGTGAAAACCCTATGTGTTATAAATGGCATGGCAGGTCCTTGGAAAGTACTGCCATCTTCCTTACCTGTAGTGTGAATACATCCACTGCATTTTACACAGACAGGTGTTGCTCAAAGGAAGAGGAAAATATGATTTAGGTGCATTATGAGACTGCTAAAGAAGCTTCTCAGTGTTTTACAAAGTATGTTCTTTTTAAAAACAAAAATTCACCCCTGCTTAAATACACAAGGTTCAGAGTACATTAAAGTCAAATAATAGACAAGGCTTGATGACATTTAATAGAAAAGATATGATTTTAGTAGAACTGTATTGCTTGCCAGTTTTAAATACATGTAAAATTGATTTTGTTTTTACCTATCTATTGAGGTTTAGTAAGGAAGGATCAGGATAAACAGATAGGCCGAATAGATGTTTATTCAGGGAGAATTAACTTACAACCTAGACAGATGAACACCAGCAAGTTCCACCGGATGCTCTCATCTCTGCGTCCCACCAGCCAGAGAGCTTTTCTCTTGCTCCTCCTCAGACCTCATTCCACAGGTTACTTCCACCCATGGCTACACCCCCCCAATAGGCGTGGTCAGTGCCACAGAAGGAGACAAAGTGAATATCCCACTACAATTCCCCTTTTAGTCTAAAGAAATGATTTAGGCTTGATACAAAACTATATACAAAACGGTGAATAACAAGTGTGCTCTAAGAAAAGGAAAATCGAGAACAAAATGACTTATCTAGTCCTAGGGTGAAGGCATAACAGAGTTTACAATAGAGTGTACCTAATATATCTAACAAGGAAGAGAGAATAATAGTTGTGATAGTTTAATCTTAAACCTCATCAAGACCTGAGAAAGAAAATAACAATACTAGAGTAGACAGAAAGTGTGGATGGGAAACTTCCAAAAGGTGCAGCAAGGACAGAAACAGCAAGCCACCTGGACAGTCACCCTAGGTCTCACAGCAACGTTGGTACACCCAGTTTTGGCTAAGGCTAAGAGTACCTGACAGACCACAACAGCAGGGAGGTAGAAAGGCTGTCTTACCCTGACTTGGCAAGGTTCAGCAGTCTTCTATATTTGTCTCCTGCAAGCACATAGGACCGACTGCATGTCCAAAACAGTGGTCAAGGTAGGGCAGTTCTTTGCCCAACAGGCCATTAGCCGAAGTGAGGATGAACTCCAGAAGGAGCAACAAGTGTCCAACATATTTTTGGGAAAGTGCACTGTGCTGTCAGAAGCAATAGTGTCTCATGTCAACAGAGTACTAATATTAAAACATTTAAATGCCATGTTCTGCATGTCTATGAAGTGATTGAAGATTAAGCATCTGTGTCTGACTAATCTCATAGGTAAAGGAAACATGAGTGAACATAATCTTTAATACTCAGGAACTTAGCTAAAAAAAAACTGATTGAAACTTCCCTGAGTAAAGCAGGAACAAATACCTAAGCTCTCTCTCTCTCTCTCTCTCTCTATATATATATATATATATATATATATATGAGGTAGAGTAGAAATGTCTAGACAAGAGGTAGAACTGTAATAGGCAGCATAATAAATATCCCTAATTGTATCAATATACAAAATGTCTTGAACATAAGTAAAAGTATACATATATAGAATATGGTAAGAATAATGTGCATGAAACATCTAAATGGAACACAGAGAAAAGTGATTGACAAACTGTTTAAAGTTTCCTGCTTTGCTGAAGAATCTGCCAGACACACTGGCCTATGGGCTGAAGATGGAAGATTACAGAAGAACTTCAAGTGACTGACCAGGCAGTGAGTTGTCTCTGTCATTTCTGGAGTTTATATATTATCCTTCTGTGGTCTTTGAAGGAGTTGAAGACAGATAGTTATGGTTATAGTTTTCCTTAGTTAGGATTAAACATAGTTACATATAAGACTTTAGACTCACAAAGATAGATGATGGAATATTTTCTTAAATCTTACTAAATGTTAATGGACTAAATATTGTTAACAGTTATTTGATAACTGTTGTGTGATATATTTTGCTATGTTAAGGTTAAAACCCTTCTTTTATTTAGACAGAAAAGAGGAGATGATGGGAGATGTCATTCTGTAAATATGTTTCTCATACTGGTTAATGAATAAAGCACTGTTGGCCAATACGAAAGCAAGATAGGCAGGACTAGGGGACAAGGAGGATTCGAGGAAGTAGTAGGGAGGAGTCAGCATGTAGAGACTGGAGGGAACAGAGGTCTGGGCTCACTTTCCGTTAAGATGAGACCGTGTGGAAATACTTAGCTTAATAGAAATGGGTTAATAATTAAACAGAGCTAGCCGATAAGAAACTAGTACCTGGCCAACCTGGCATTATATTTAATATAGAGTCTCTGTGTGTTAATTGGGGCTGGCGTGGCGGTAGAACCAGACCGGCAGAAAAACCTACTTGTAACACCTATCAAGCTACTATTATATGTATAAAGCAATATAGTCACTCAACCAATCAGTGTAGATTTTTCATTTTGGCACTATTATATGTTATTATATGTACTATATACACATCTTACTCACTCTCAAATGCATCCTGCATCATTTAAATGGGGTTTCCCCTGTTGAAGTGACATATATCTTTTTATTTAAATTTGAAACAAGCTTATTTTACATGTCAATCCCAGTTCCTGCATCCTCCCGCCCTCCCCTTTTCCCCCACCAAACTCCATCCCATCTCCTTTCTGCTCCCCAGGGAAGGTTAGGCCTTCCATGGGGAGTCTTCAACATCTGTCATATCATTTGGAGCAGAGCCTAGGCCCTCCCCTATGTGTCTAGGCTGAGAGAGTATCCCTCTATGCGAAATGAGCTCCCAAAGTCCATTCTTATGCTAGGGATAAATACTGATCCACTACCAGACTGCCCAGTCCTCCTAAGTAACACCCACATTCAGGGGTTCTGGGTTGTTGGTCTTATGCTGGTTTCCCAGCTATCAGACTGGAGTCCATGAGCTCCCCCTTGTTCAGGTCAGCTGTTTCTGTGGGTTCCTCAGCCTGGTCTTGACCCCTTTTGCTCATCACTCTTCCCTCTCTGCAACTGGATTCCAGGAGTTCAGCTCAGGGCTTAGCTGTGGGTGTCTGCTTCTGCTTCCATCAGCTACTAGATGCAGGCTCTAGGATGGTATATAATGTAGTCATCAATCTCATTATCTGGGAAGGGCATTTAAGGTAGCCTCTCCACTATTGCTTAGATTGTTAGTTGGAGTATCTTTGTAGATCTCTGGACATTTCCCTCGTACCAGATTTCTCTTTAAACTTATAATGGCTCCCTCTATTATGGTATCTCTTTTCTTGCTCCCCTCTAGTCTCTCCCTGACTCAATCTTCCTGTTCCCTCATGTCCACCTCTCTCCTCTTTTTCCTAATTCCCTCTCCCCTCCCCCACATGCTCAGGGAAAAGCAAGTGGATCTCTTTTGGTTTGAGAACAGCTTGTTCTATAGCAAGTTCCAGGGCAACTAAGAATACATAGGGAGACCTGTGAAATAGCTCAGCCGTTAAAGGCTAATCTCACAACCGAAAATATGAAGTGATTTTTATCCATTGCCTGGGAACTTGTCATTCTAATTGTGTTACATCTTTTCTTGGCCACTAGAGGGCCCCACGCCATATATAAATGAGTCCCTTCTAACTGAAATGATCAACTCAGTGTTGATGATAGCCCAGGGCTAGAAATGAAGGGTAGCACAGGTCTGATTTATTTAAAAAAAAAAAAAAAAAAATACGAGTAGCAAGTCAAAGCTTTGGATAGGAATGATTTAGAAAGGAATTGAAGGCACTGAACCACAGGATATTCCCGGCCATGTGCAGGGAGGGGGCTTAGAAACATTTGCGGTGGACGATGGAGGGACCAGCTTCATCGTATTCCTGTTTGCTGATCCACATCTGCTGGAAGGTAGATAGGGACGCCAGGATGGATCCTCCAATCCACACAGAGTACTTGCGCTCTGGGGGCGCAATGATCTGTCAGGATAAGAAAAGGACAGCATTAGTGCCAAGAGGAAGTGCCTCCTGTTGGTCCTTCCTGGGAAACAAGGGCATTCTTCTCAAGCTGGGGCATAGATTCCCCAGTGAACCCACTGATCTTTCTGTTTATTGTTTTCATGCAACCTATGCCAAATCATCCCTAATTCCTCCATTCCTTTATTGGGTAAACCCAATCTGGCCTTGGATCACATGGGGCCTCTGCATAAAAGCCCTGACAGTGTCTCCAGGAGAGATTTCAGGAGCTGATGCCTAAGAGCTCAGCAGGGCCTACACTTTCCGTAGAAATCCTAATATGGGCAGGGATATTGTAATTGCTCCAGAACTTACCATGCAAGTATTCTTTCAACTGATTAATTTGGCCACTGCTTTCTGAAATCCCAACCAAATGCTTTTTTGTTGTTGGTTTTTTTTTTTTTTTTTTTTTTTTTTAGTAGTTGTGTTAAGTTATTAGTTTAGGGAAAGTGCAGAGAATCAGGCCAGGGTGTGATATGCCACAGCAACTCAAACTGAGCTGAGAAACACCACATTGCACTCTGGTCTTAGTTGCTTGGCTAGCAGTGGATGCACCAGTGAACAGTGTCCTGTAATGCTGGGCACAGGTTTTCCTTCTGTCTGACCTCAAGCTCTGGTTCAGCATTCAATACTTTCTCATTCACTGAGCTCTCACTGTGTCGACCATGTTCTAAGTGTTTTACAGGTAGTAGCTTATTTGATTTCTGTAACAATTTCGAAGGGTAGGTATCCATTGGTTCTCAGGTTACATACAAAACAGCTATAGGCTCAGGGGACTGTTCAGTAATGGTCACAAGTGGCTGTGTCAGTATCAGGTTTAATTTTAAAACTGGTCCCCACAGGAGTTTTGTTTTGAAGCTACACATTTTTACTTCCCATAGTGCGGGTGTTTGGCGATAATTTTAGATTTCCAGAAAGTTACAAAATGGTGCAGGGCCTTCCTACCCTCACTCAGGCCCATTCCGTCAACTTGTCATCTTGGTGTCCCCATTTTAGTGGCTCTCTGTGCTCTCTGACCATACTGGGCCCCCATTTCCATTTAAGAAGTCAAATCAGAGAATTGAGGCTTGTCCAAATCCTGTTGCCTGTTCTCAAACTCCAACTGAGTAGTTTCTTCAGGGAGCTCAGCCATTGGAGGGAGGGGGATTCTAGCTGGTCAGACAGGGATCAACAGAACTCGAGCCCTTCCAGAAGTGGTGGATCCCCTTCCACCACGCAGTCCTCCGGAAAGGCTTCCTCAGATCCTATTTTAAGGGGTATGTGTTTAAGTCAAAATCACTCTCACCTTAGCCTGATTCCCTTTGGGAAACAACAGAGAACTTGTTAGGCTGCCCCACGTTGCTGGTGGCTACTGTAGAACTGTCCCTCCCCCTGCTTTGTGAGTCAGAGGGTCTTAGTATGGTACCTTGATCTTCATAGTGCTGGGTGCCAGAGCTGTGATCTCCTTCTGCATCCGGTCAGCAATGCCTGGGTACATGGTGGTGCCCCCAGAGAGGACGTTGTTAGCGTAGAGGTCCTTCCTGATGTCGATATCACACTTCATGATGCTGTTATAGGTGGTTTCATGGATACCAGCTGACTCCATCCCTGGAAAAGAGACACAGACCATGGTCCTTGGGTGCTGGGAAAAACTTGGGTTGAACATGGACCAATCTTTTCCTGGGTGAGGCTGGCAGGTATCAAGAACTAGAAACAACCATCCAGGAGACCAAAGGGCCTTGCCCTCCTGTGTCTTATCTAATGAGGAGGCTCAGGACAGCACTTCCAGAGAGAGGTTACAACATGCTAACACTGACATCTCAGTAGACATCCTGCTATATATGGCTTGAAAAGGGGGCTAGGCCTTCAGGTGATCCGTGAAAGGGAGGGCCAGAGACACTGATCAGAACACCCCCATCTCTCCCAGGCTGTTATTTTATTTTGCACCTCCAACACCCAAGGTGGAATTATGGGATCATCAGAAGTGTTTCCTGTACTTAAATTTTTTGAGTTTTTTATTCTTTTTTTTTTTTTTTTTTTTTTTTTTATGTCTTGGTTTTGGTTTTGAATTTCGCATTTTTAAAACATAGGTCTCCCTATGTACCCTTAGCTGGCCTGGAACTTGCTATAGAACAAGCTGGTCTCAAACCAATAGAGATCTTCTTGCTTTTGCCTGTCTAGTACTGGGATTAAAGGCATGAACTACTACGCCCAGCTACGGAAGATGCTTTTTATGCAATCTTAGTACAGGTATTTTTGGGAGGAGAGGGGCTGATTTTCTTGTTGAGTCCTGATGCAGACATTTTTGTGATAAGCCTCTAGGTGGCGCCCTCATTCTTCTTAGCGCTGTCATCTTGTTATAGTAGTAGCAACATGACTGACAGAATTGTGGGATGAGGGTGCTACACAACTCTGCTATAAATCTTCCAGCTTTCCTAGCGGGAAGTAACCGAGCCTCAGAGAGGTTAAGTGACATTCTCAAAATCGTGAAAATAGGACAAAGTCTCAAGTTCAGGCCCCCAGCTTCCAAAGAGGACGCCCCTGGGAAGCCCTCTGTGACTCTGTCATGCCAGTATGGGATAGGTGCTCTCTAGTTGTTCTGCCCTGTCCCTGCCCCCGCCCCCCACTCCCACCCAGCATTCCCAAACTCACAGCACTCAGTTCCTCTTCCCCAACCATCCCTGTGCTCCATTACATCCTAAACATAGATAACATGTGTCTTGTACATTATATGTGGAGAACATGCTTGTCTTGACCACGGCTTAAGAGATTTCCTAGGCAGTCAAGTCCTGTCTTGGCTCCCTGGATTCTTCTCATTTTGAAATTGCATGTTCCCTACTGTAGAACTGCCGTTTCTGAAGCCCCGATTCATTTCTGCTGCAAATGGGTACCGGTAGCCAGGGCTGGCTGGGTATAGAACAGGAAGACTCCACTCGCCAGTGCCTACCAATGAAAGATGGCTGGAAGAGGGTCTCGGGGCAGCGGAAGCGTTCATTCCCAATGGTGATCACCTGCCCATCAGGCAGCTCATAGCTCTTCTCCAGGGAAGATGAGGAGGCAGCAGTGGCCATCTCATTTTCAAAGTCCAGAGCTACATAGCACAGCTTCTCCTTGATGTCACGAACAATCTCGCGCTCAGCTGGCAAACACGTACAAACAAGATACACATTAGGGTCTGCACAGGGGCTAAAGGCAACCCGCCCTTTGTCACTCTAATGCTGAACCAGCTCCTCAGAAGTCTCAGAGCTTTCAAACTGCCTCAAAGATCTTTGTTTCCCTGCCCAGGTGTAGTGGCTTGATCTCTGATACATTCCTTGATTTTCAAAATGAAGCAGATGTTAAGCTCAGGCCAGCTCCAGTTTGGTGGTCCATTTGGAGAGAAATATGGAAACGGTGGCTGCCTGCTACTCAGGCTTCTAGGCCTTAAGATTCCAAAGCCCTAATTCCACCCGATTCTTTGGGTGGTGTGGACAAGAATAAATTAATTCAACATCATACTGTTTGTCAGGGTTCAAACAGTATGTCCAGAAGCCTAAAATGTGGACAAGTGTAGATTTGTGAGGATTCGGGCAAATAGGGATATGATCACGGAGGACACACTAGAATTTCTGTGTGTTCCAGCACTGGCCTCTTGTCCAGGGAGTGTGAGTGGCACACACACACACACACACACACACACACACACACACACACACACACCACTGCCTGCTAGGTCTGTATTAAAAATGGCAAGCAATTATTGAGCGCTTACTCTTGGCAGAGCATTCTACAGCCATTGTAGTATTTCATATTCATCGTGGTCACAGGAGGCAGAATCTGTGACTGGGCCCATTTCACAGATAAAAGGACTACAGCTTAACAAGGCTGGTTAGTGTCCAAGTTACATGGCTAAAGGGTAACGAGTTAGAACTCGAGTCCTGTTAGATGTCTCCAAAGGTTGCCAACCACACCTTCCTATCTTTATACTTTCTTTTCTATTAATAAATGCAGAAACTAAAAAATATACAAGTAGCTCTGTGGGTGTAGCTCAGTGGTGGAGTGATCTGCTAGCAAATGCAAGACCCTGGATTTTGTGTCTAACAGCATACTTACAAATGGATGTTCACTCTGACTTGCCTACTATCTATAGCAATGTCAATAGCTGCTCTCAAAGAAACTGTCCTAACTTTACAATCACAAAGCAAGAAAAGCTTCAGGAATTCACATCAGGTTGTCATGCTTGCACTGCAAATGGTTTTACCAGCTGAGCTTTCTCTGTGACTCCATGACCCCTTTTGAGTGACAGCACTCCTTCCACTAAGTAACTGTGAGCAGCATGCTGTCTTCCATCCTCTTCCCTTGACCTCTCCTGGACCTTACCAGTAGTCACGAAGGAATAGCCACGTTCAGTCAGGATCTTCATGAGGTAGTCGGTGAGATCTCGGCCAGCCAAGTCCAGACGCATGATGGCATGGGGCAGGGCATACCCCTCATAGATGGGAACGTTGTGAGTAACACCATCTCCAGAGTCCAGCACAATACCTAGGGGACAATTGCGGAGGCCATAAGTCACAACATCAGCTGGTGTGCAGTGGCTTCTGTTCTAGTATACTGAAGACGGGGAATCAGTAATTCCTAAGCCCCTTATATGAAAGGAAGAAAGAATGCATTTGATGGAAGGGGGTGGGGCATGACATAGTGCTTGGGGGAGATGGGAAGAGGAAGACTGAAACCACTGAAAATGTCTTGGTAAAGAAGTGGGGTCCAGGGCTGACTTTGAAAAAGGCAAGGTTTTTGTTTTTGTTTTATGGTGGGACCGTCTCTGTCGGTTCTAATTTGCTTCATATTTGTCACAACCCCGGAGGCTGTAGCCTTCAAATCTCTCATTTTCTTGTGGATTCGTTTGACTAAGAGTCCCACCTCCCCTGGCTACCTACCAGTTGTGCGTCCAGAGGCATACAGGGACAGCACAGCCTGAATGGCCACATACATGGCAGGTACGTTGAAGGTCTCAAACATAATCTGCAAAGGAATGAGAGGGTTAAGTAGACAATGTGGTCAGTTTGACAAAGAGCACACCCCCTTGCCTGGTGCAGATCCTCCAGACACGTAAGAGCAAAGGAAGGAAGGCCAAGGCAGACCTGATCCCATGAGAAAGAAAAATGCGGGCCACAATAGACAGGCCATCACATGGGTGACCTGTCAGGAGAGGAAAGGAGCCAGCTGCATGAACACAAGACCTGGCAAGGTGAGGAGTGGCTAGCTGCAGGCTCTAGTCTTGGTCCTGAATTGGATGTGATAAGATTCACTATGATGTTTGTTTTTGCCTTATCTCTCACATGTAAAGGGAGCAGGGTTTTGGACTAAGTGGACTCTCAGAGAGAATCTGAGTTATTAACTGTATCAAAGACAAAAAGAAAAGGACAAGATAATATCGGAGGAATATAAAAAAAAAAAAAAGCCCAATGATCAGACTGGCTTGGAATAACCCTGACTGTGTGATCTGTCTCAGGTTCAGTTTAATCTTTTCCATGTTTTTATGCAATTGTAGACCAATGCCAGCCCTGGAATCAGGCCCTCATAGCTAGAGCGGGAGATAATATGATCTTGGGGTATAGGACCTATATCATGGAATAGAAGGCCACATGTCAAAATGCAATCCATTGGTCCATACAGTTCAGGGACTAGATTAAAGCCAGAACCACACTAGGCTCCTCCTGCATCCGGAGATGTTGCCAACTCCCATATTAGCAACACTCTCTAGTGCATAAACCTGAAGGGATGTCTGACATTTGCTAGAAATCAGTTTTCAGTCATTTCTCTGCCTTGACACAATTCACAGGATGGTGATTGTTACTGGAACTATCATTTCTTCCACGGTAGAGTGATTCCCAGAGCAGCTGGTGTGCTCTTCCCAGGAGGAGGATGTATGTATTTGTGATTCTTCAGCAGAAAAGCCATGGGTCAACTCCAGGTTACTGCCACTCCTAACATCATGACTTTAGGAAAATCACTTAGTGTGCCTGAGCCTTAATTTGGTCATGAGAGTCCCTACTTCACCGCACTAGGCATTAGCATGCACTTGAAACACTATGTGCTTGACCAAGGCCTGTTTGGAACTGACATTAGATGCTTGTTCACTGGACAGTCTCTTGCTGTAGGGTCCTACGTATCACACAGACAATGGTGACAGTAATTCCTACTAATCTTTGGATGTTTATTGTGCCACACGCCATGATATTCACATATCATTTCTGCATCAGTCTGCATGTCTGTTCTTGAAAAATAATAGTATTGATACTCCCCCCCCAAAAAAAAAAACAGAAAAACTGGGGCTCTCGGAAATTAAGTAGTTTTCAGTGACAAATTCAGTTCCTACTTATTGTACTGTATTTTGAAATGACTTATTGGAAGTTTCTAATCCCAAGTAAGTCCCTTCCTTAATTAAACCTTTAAATTTCTTTCTTGCCCTTTGAGGCAAAATGGTCTAGTTTTTTTGTGGTAAGGATGTGAATGAGCACTGTCATAATCCATGGCCTTTAGGGTCTCCAATTGGCTGGACTGTTGGTGAACTGCCACTTAGGATCTTCTCTCTGCCATGCTATAGTCTTAACTTTAGTTAACCTTACCCCCAATCCAATAGTGTTGCATTCTGGAGCAAATGTTTACCTGGGTCATTTTCTCCCGGTTGGCCTTGGGGTTCAGTGGTGCCTCCGTCAGCAGGGTGGGGTGCTCTTCAGGGGCCACACGAAGCTCATTATAGAAGGAGTGGTGCCAGATCTAGAGAGCAGGGAAAAGGGAAACCCATTGTGGGACACCTTTCAAGGAAGGATTGTTGTCCAGCAGCATTAGGAATACAAGATTTACCCAGGAGTAAACAAGCATGCCTGACGACAGTTTGCAAGCTAACAAAAGTAAAACCAACTTTAAAGACTCTGTCATGATTTAGGTTTCCTGCTTTTAGTTTTGTGGTTTCCATCCAAGAAAGGGACACTGGCAAGCCCTGCCCCTTGGTGGGTGCAGTGGGGGGGTGAAGGGACGAGGGGGTAGTGAAAGGAAGAAAGGGTAGGGCTGAGCAGTTTGGAAAACCATCTTCATAATTCTTCAGTACATTAAAAATCAGTGGCCAACTATTCCTTAATCCCTTCACCTTATCCCACCAATAGATAACAAGACACACTGCTCTATAAAATGGAAAAAAAAAAAAATTCAGAGTGCTCAAGGACCCCAGTCACCTATTACACACTGTAGTTAAAACAGGTTTTTAAAACCCTATCCTTCCTTCACTCCTTTTCTCCAGAATATGTTCTAAATTTAAATACGAGGAATGCAGGTCCTTTTCCATTCCACTATTCTCTTTCCTGGATCATCCCTGCTACTGTCTCCATGGAGAGACGCCTGAAGGACCCTTTCCCGTTGGTGTTGCTGGCACCTGCATGGTCCAAAATGCCATTGCACCAAGCCCACAATGAGATTAACTGAAGCTACAGATGGGCAGCCCTTGCAGAGAAAGGAAGGTGTACACATAATTAGCAAACATTTAGGAGTATGTCGTGTAGGATTTATTTTTAAATGATACATGTGAGCATGTGTGGGTGAATAGATGTGTTTGGGTGGATAAAAGCTAATAAACAGGCAAATAAAAAAGCAGATGCTGCAGGTTTAGTGTGTTCTGCTGCATTTAAAAAATGTCTCTTTCTTATCTTCCTTTTGTTTTGTTGTTGTTGTTGCTGCTGCTGCTGCTAGTGTTTCAAAAATGCCTAGTAATAATCTCTTTAACCCTTAGATTTAACTCCACTTTCTTCTGGCTCTTTCTGTATTGTCTGGGAGCAAAGGTCTTACTCAATGTGACACAGAAAGAGAATTTTAAAGTATTTGTTTAAAAATTTGTCAGTCATAATCCACTGTGGTTTTGTGAAAATTAAGAAAACTGCTCAGGGAAAATTAACAAAAGTCATTCAGGAATGGGCTGGCTAAGGGTCTTCCCAGAATTCTAGCTCTGGACACTTGGTGCTCCGTGGATTCCTGCACTCAGAGGTAGCCCAATGGTTGTGGAAGAAAATCAATCCCTCGTTAGCAAAGGGCTTCTCTCACCGACAGAACTGCCTCCCACCAAGAAACTTATTTTCAAAAGGACATTTGTCAAGATTTTCTTCAGTGAGTAATAATCCAAGTTAAACAATAACGAATCAACAGTGCAGTTGAGCAACGATAGCTATCCATCTATCTTCTGCAGCTGCCCCACGAGGCAGCCTGTTGTGATTCTCGGGGGCTCTGGAATTCTGTTTCCGAAAGACTCAGCCTACAGAACATTCTCGGTACCTTTTCCATGTCATCCCAGTTGGTGATGATTCCGTGCTCTATCGGGTACTTCAGGGTCAGGATCCCTCTTTTGCTCTGTGCTTCATCGCCCACGTAGCTGTCTTTTTGTCCCATCCCCACCATTACTCCCTAGAACAGTTCAACATACTGTGAGTCAATTCTTTCCTGAAACTGGAGAGTTGGTGATTTCTTTGATAGCTAACATGATATGAAGTTACACTTAGTAATAGTGCTTCCCTTTTCCTAAAACCAAACGCCGTGAGGCTGAGTTTGGTTTTAATTTCTTTCCCAGCATCAGTGATGATGTACATAAGGGCAGCTTAAAATGATTTCTGATGCTGCCGATGCTGCCGAGGACAATGGTCACATAGTGGCTGTATCTAGATAGCATGCATGAGAAAATGACAGATTTTAAGTAATATGTATAACCTGACATCATATATTATACACATTATATGTATAACATATACAAGAAAAATGTAACCTGCCCATGTTTCTTTATGCCTGATATGTGAAATTGACATTTATTCCTGGAATAAATTATCGATTATCACCAGGAGAGAGAGACCTTGCACCACTAGGTTATATCCAAGCCTATTGCAGATAAATTTTTCACAAGGTTATATAAACTCTGGGCAGAAAGCATCTGACAATTGACACAAAGAGATCTAGCTGATGGTCCTGTTCTCTCTGTATTTCACAAGAATTTGGCTTACCTGATGTCTGGGACGTCCCACAATGGATGGGAAAACAGCCCTGGGAGCATCATCACCAGCAAAGCCAGCTTTACAGAGCCCAGAGCCATTGTCACACACCAGGGCAGTGCTGTCCTCTTCTTCACACATAGCTAGAGCAGCTTCACAGGGTTCTACAGAGGCAGGGAGAAAGCAGCCCGAGTTGTACCAGAGATCCAGAGCTCACCATCACCCCCACCCACAGACAGGGCTCTTGGCGCTTTTGTGTTATTTTAGGTGGAGGCTTTCCCCAAGTCTCTACTAACATACTCTTTATCTTGAAACACTTTCACTGGGCTGCAAAGCCTTTGATAAGCTTCAACTCTGACTTCCAGGTTAACAGCACCAGCCCTCAGCACAACGAGTGACCCATCACAGGCTCTTACAACACTCTCAAGCTGGCCAGAGCATGTAGCCAGTGAACAAACAGCACAAATGCCAGCTCCAGAGTAAGAGAACAGATTTCCCCAGGGACACATTCCTCAGCATGTGTTAAAGAGCTACCTAGTTTTATTTGTCTATATCAAAACCAAACTCGCATTTTTTTTTCTAAATGTAACTTAATTATTTTTTTCCAAAAAGGTAGACTTTGAGGAATGGGCAGCATACAACAATTTGAAAATGTTCCAACATTAGCTCATTTTAAATGTTTAAAAGAGAATTCTTTTGGATCTAAAAAGATTTGTATACTTGGGGAGACATTGAACATGAATCAAAACCGTGTGTGGTGATGCACACCTGTAATCCTAGCACTTGAGAGACTGAGGCGAATCTGAGGCCAACAAGAGCTAGTGTAATATAGAAACATGAATTGAAATTTCCCAAGAAGGTGTTTGAAGTTTTGGGAGTTGCAGTATTCCTTCATTAATTAAAGTCACGTTAATCTGAAAATCCAACAGCGTGCTAACTGCTATTCTTTAGGGAAAGTAACATAATATGACCACAGTCAAATGTGATTTTTGTTTGTTTTCATAAAAAGATTACTTATTCTCACCAAGGTATTTACTGGGGTTCTTTTGAAGCAGTAAATAGTGGGTTTTGTAGTTTTTACTATCTTAATTGAGCACCAACTCCTTCAGTTTTAAAAGAAAATTTTAAGTAACCAACATTTAAGCTTGGAATTTTGAAAGCTTGGTAGGCTATTTAAGCTTTGCATATGGATATCATTATGTGACTGTTATCCTTACGCAGAAGTTTTGTTTGTGATCTTGGCTTCCTTCCACACTGCCCTCAGAATTAGAATGTACTTCAATGTGTGGATTCCCCTCGCTATAATGGAAAGCAGGGTTTGTCCATGGTTTGTTCTTTCCTCTCTGTGCTTTTCCCTTTCCTTTTCAGATGCTGAATTGTATTTAGCTTCCTTTCTGGTACATGATGAGGATCAGAAGATAGTTTGTAACTACAAGGAGACAGAGGCAGAGGCGGTGTGGCTATTGGAGGCAGCCAGCACCAAGGGACCAGCAGAGCCTGTGCACACACTAAGCCTGGTTCCCGCACCCAGCATCAGGACTGTAAATGGGATAAGCCACTTAGAATTAGGAAAGTCTCTCAAAACTGGGAAGGATAAACCACATAAACTTTCTATTGGTCAGAGACCAATATGCTTTCATATATGCAGAGGAAAAAGCTGCCTGCTCCCCTCCCCCAATGAAAGAAAAATACTACACAAATTCGGTAAAGATGCATTTATATTTCATCCAAAAATGTACAGAAAACCTGTCTTAATAAACCCTGGAAGGAGCATTGTCACTAGAGAAGAAGTCAGTGTGACCCCAGAGGGACTGCCGCTGTAGTTTACAACTCTTATCTAACCTGAATGAGTGGCTCAGTGAGAAGCTGAGCATTTCCTAATTAGGTAAAACACACTAGTTTTGGCGTCTGCTTTTGGAACTGCACCCGGGTCAGGGAGCTCGGTGCAGCACAGTGGAGTGTATCTCGTGCCAAAAATGAATCGTTAGGGAGGGGTGGGAAGGGGAGCCGGGAAGGACAGTACCATTCCCAGCTTGTGGGACTCAAAACGCAAACCATATTTAGTCATGAATCACAAAACGGGAGCAAAATCTTACTGAGCAAACTGCATTCCCAGCCCAAGCTACCCAGCCCAGAGTTACAGGCAAGGCTTCCTCCACAGAAGACACTTAAGGCAGAGAAATGCAAATCAGTCCTCCCCTGAATGAGATACTTCCTTCCTCCTTTTTTTTACAGAAAGTATAGAAGCTACGCTATGCTGCAAACTCGGGTCTGAACAGTACAGGCACCGGCACACTCACAAGATATACATTTCCAGCATAGGTCACCAGCTGTCAGAGCCAGGGACACCCAGAAGCAATGCATGCATTTAGCCAAAACCAAAGGGCTTGGAAACTGGCCCAGTTCACTCCCGACACTCACTTCCAGGTACCTCAGCTGCACTAAAAATACCGTCGGATGAAAAGCCTCCACACTAAATATGAACCATACACAAATCCAAGTTTCCTATGCCTAGGTAGAAATAAATGCATAATTTACCATATACAGCTAGCCTTCACCGCTATAGTAGGCTGCAGACCAGAGCAGTTGATTTGGTATAAACAGGTTTTACAGGTGACATGTGTGAACAAAATTTCAGTCCATCTCCATCACCTTCTCCACTAAACCAAGCATCATGTTAGCCAATGTGAAGGTAAGATCATGCAAGCTCTAAAGCTACAATCATTTTAATTGTATAAACCTTCATTCAAAAATGCAGAACATGGGAGTCATCCGGAGTCCCACAAACAATGTCTGGTCACACTGTGCAATAAAAGATCCTGTGGAATCTCCCAGTCACACCCGTGGGCTGGTGCCACTTACCCTGACGGTGGCGGGCTGGGCTTCTCCACTCTGGGTGGGTGGTGTCCAGGGAAGCTGAATACTGAAGGGTTATATAGCCCCTTAGTCTGATTCCCTCCCACTTGCTTCCCAAACAAGGAGCAGAGACAGGCTGGAGCTGGCCGTTCACTCTAACACAACCATATAGGGACCTCAGCACAAAACTCTCTAATCTGGGTGGCCAGAGGCCTGGGTCTCTTCCACAGCATTCCTCTGATCTGCTCCTGAGGCAGGAGGCAGTGCAGCTGCTGATGGGGGATAAGCACCCTGAACCCTCAGAACAACTGCTGAAATGCCCAGACACTGGGCTTAGTGTCATGGGGCAGATGCAAGCGTGGCTTGCACATTCCTTAGAAGATGCCAGCTCACTGACAAGCCGGTCTTTGGGACCATTTGCTAAGGAACCGAGATCAGGAAGGGCCTGCCTCTAACTAGCTGGGATTTTGAAGCCATGTTTTTATAGAGGTAGCCTATAACAAAAGATACCGTAGTCACTCCCAAGTATAGAGAGGTGTGATCATTTCACAGTAGTCACACTGTGTTTACACATTGAGCCTGTGTGTAGGATTAAGGAAAATCAGAATTGAAGCATGCAGACAGGATTGGCCAGCTGATGTTGCCCCAAGAGGAACTGAGGGATCAGAGTCACCCTAACTGCTTTACCCCTTAGGTAAATTCCATGTGTTGCTGCTTTGTCACTGGCTTTTAGCTGCATGGTTAGGAACCATCCTTTGGCTGTAGAGATGACCTGCTACCCTGTCACAAAAATGATTTGTAAAAGAATTTTGAAATGTTGCATACTGATCTTCCTCCACACCTGTGAGCCCACTGGACAGAGTAGAGATTAGGTGACTCTGACATTCTTCAAAGACATCAGCTCTTGGGCTTCAATGGACAGTCAATTATTTTACATTTCTGTATCCCCGCACCTCTGCCTGCAAGCCAAAATTCTAATTGCATTCATGATAGAAATATTTTTGATGGATTCCATGAGTGTTTCTGTACTGTTCACATGCTAGGAAAACCCCTAGGGTAAAGGGCATCGACTGTCTTGCTCAAGCTACCAAAGTCTCATGCATTTGATTTATAGTGTCCACATGTATGCACACATATTTGTCTTTGAGAAATTGCACTGTTGATTCTTAGAAGAGTCTGAATAGTTGCTAAATAATGGTGGGATTTCTCTGTGTTGCTTGAGAGACTTCTACCCTGTATTTGGTTTCTATCAGCTAGGAAATACAATTGTTTGACCACTCAAATCTAGAGAATGCATAGTGTGATCCAGAGTGGAGCACTTATGATCAATCCAATGATTTTCATCACATGGTATCACATAAAGCTGATCATATTTCACATTTTCTCTATTTTAGTCCCTGACATGTATGTCTGTGATGATGGCTAGTTTTGTGAGTAAGTGGTGTCTTGATCACTTTATAAGCTTGCTATTCTCTTAAATACCAAAAGAATAGCTTTGATAATCTTATATTATATCTTTGTTTATAATGGTTTTATTTGTCAGTAATTAGAACATTAAGATATAAAAAAGAGAAAATAAAATACAACTCAGGTTTAATTTTTATATTTAAGATTAAATATATATATATACCACAATCTGAAGCAATCAAGGAGGATCTGTATATGAAAATCAGTTTCTAAGCAAGTGATCAATGGTCTCACTGTATAAGTTTGAGGTTTAAATCCAACTCAAGTCTCTTCCTTGAGAGAAAGCTGCACTGGACCAGTGTGTGTATGTATACAAGGGAAGTTCCACTACAGTGCTTAGATAACTCCTGGGGCTGACAGCTATGAATGCAGGATGTTATGGACTGATGATGGAAAGAGTAACATTTGGTCACTTGGTTGCAGTTCAGGGAAACTATAAAATAAATCCAAGCTATAAGCACACACCCAAGAATCATTTCTAGTTGTATTGCTCTACAGACATCACATGGTACCTTGGTAATGTGATTTAGTAATGATTTACTGTATGGTCCTTGAGAACTGGAGAGCATTTTAGTCCTCACTGGGAACCAATCCAGAGCTGACTTAGCACGGTGCTCACTGGCAGTGAGGGAGAATGTCCAGAATCAGCAATGCGGATGCAGTAGCCACTAGAAACATGCAACTATTGACCACTCAAGTATGTAGAATTGACGTTTTTAATTCATTTAATCTTTGCTTTGGTATGCATGTAGGATATGCATGTCCTACATGTGAGTGGGTACATGTGTATGCATATGTATGTCTGCAAAAGTTGGAGGTTGGTAGTGTATATATTCCTTTATCATCACCATATGATCTATGTGACAAAGTCTCTAACTTGAATCCAGAGTTCACCGACTCAGCTTCCTCACTAGCTGGCTTGGTCTATGTATCACATACTCACCAGGATTTTATGTGAATGCTGGGGATTAGAGTTACAGTCCTGATGTTTGTACAGCATGCTTTTTACCCACTGAGGCATCTCTCCTGCCTCTCATTTCATTTAATCTTAATTAAATTTTAGTTTGCATAGACCACTCTATTAGAATTCACAGGTATGGTAACTTTTAAACATGATTACAACTAGACTTCCCAAAGGGCCTTAAAATTTTTCACTGTCCACTACTCGGTTGGCTAAAAGAGATCACTTACCCCAGAGCCTATATTCCAATTCATCACTGAGGATGAGAATTTTCACAATAGCCAAAGTTCCTCTGAGCAAACCCTGTGGTCTGGCTTTACCAGGGTCCACAGGACACCAAGTTAGTGATTTACAAAGCTGGAACCCTCACCCTAATTATCTCCTGACCCTAAATCCTGACCTCAACATTCTTAAACTTTTCATTGAGAATACCATGTCTTTTTTGATTTACAGAATATGAAGAAGAGCATTCCTATCCATCCCATATGGCATCTCCATTGTGGTTGACATCTTTTATCACTTTAGTACATTTGTCACAACTGGTGAACCAATTATAATTAACAAAGGCCATCTTTTATTAGCATTCCTTCAGTTCTTGCCTGTGCTTGTTAGTTTTCTGTCTCCTTGACAGAAGTAAGGGTCATCTGTAAAGAGAGAATCTCAACTGAGAAAATGCCTCCATCAGATTGGTCTGAGGGCAAGCTTGTGGGGCATTTTTTTTAATTAATGACCAATGTGGGAGGAGCCAGCCTACTGTGGCAGTACCACCCCTGTGCTTGTGGTTCTGGGTTGTATAAAAAAAAAAAAAAAAGCAGGCTGAGCAACTCACGGGGAACAAGCCAGTAAGCAGTATTCTTCTGTGGCCTTCAGTTCCTGCCTCCAGGTTCTTGTCTTCAGTTCCTTCTCTAACTTCCCTTCATAATGGGCTGTAAGTTTTAAGCTTTTCTTTCCTTTCAGGTTGCCTTTGGTCATGCTGTTTATCATAGCAATAGAAAACAAATGAAGACGTTACTCATTGCCTCCTTTCTGCTTCAAAAGCCCATGTCATACATCACACTGCATCTCACACATCGCACTGTACTTGGTTCTGTTGTCTGAAGGTCCCTTTGGATGCTATAGTCTAAGAAACTGTTTTAAAGGACCTTGATAGCATTGAGGACTAGTAACATGTTTTGTAAAATACCCCTTGATTGAAATTTGATTTTTTTCTTGATTAGTTTGGGGTTATATTTTAAAAGAAGATCTAGATAAAGCACCCTTGTTACTTCATATCAAGATGACTTGGCACTATCGATGTCAATCTCTTCACCTGAATGGCCTTTGTTAGGCTTCTCTACTGTAGATGTACAATATCACTCTTAACAGTTCTTTATTCATGGGCTCCATTATAAGCAATCACACTTGGTGACAGTGAGTGATGGTCACAGAATCTAGACATAGGTCTCTACAATTTGGGGGACTAATGGTTCAAGAAAAGAAAAAGTCTGGCTGAATTCACAGAAGAATGGTTCATCATCAACAATATCTGAAGGATGTACAGTATATGAAACATGAAAGAAACACTCTGTTCATGCTGTAGGATTTAGAAAAGTATACCACCTCTATGTCACTGACTTCAGAGACAAAGTATAGGCAAGCAAGCTGAAGGAGAAGCTATCACCATGATCATCTGCTGAGAGGTTATGATACAATAGGTAGTCATTTGTCGCTACTAAATACTGTCCCCAGCTTCCGAAGCTATTGTCTCAAAAGAAAGCATTTTTATTTTCAATATTTCAGTGTGTGTGTGTGTGTGTGTGTGTGTGTGTGTGTGTATGTGTTTGTGTGTGTGTGTGTGTAAGAGCACATGTGTGTGCTTCAATAGCCACAACACGGCATCACTGGTGCTGGAATCCAAACTTAAGTCCTCTAGAAGAGCAGCAGGCTCTCCTAATCACCCATCCATGCCTCCAGCCCTTCAAACAGCTTTTCGTGTTGGACAGAACTGACCAGCCTTCAAGGGAAACAGTATTTGGAGCAAAGGCTTGGTAATGCCCTAAGTATTCTGTCTTCATTTCCAATGATTCACAGAACAGAAAGACTTGTGTATGTTTCATGCCTAGCAAGTCCCCCAAGAATAGTGTTTACAATGTGTGTTCTGTGGTGAATGAGAGTTTCTGTCCCTTTGGGAGCAGGAATTTAAACAGCAACTCTGACTTATTAGAGGGTTATGATTAGTGCCCAAGGATTTTAATTTTTTACAGTCAAATGGGTTTAGATAGTCAAGTTACATACAGTTGCCTCTGTCTAGAAATCCTTCTAGGAAGTTAAACTATTCAGCAATGTGTGACAGTTCCCATGTCTTGTGGACCTATGGATTAAAACGATAGCACATTCTTTGGCATTTCTTCAATGTTGGCAACTATCTGTAGCCCACCATTTTCATCAAAGACCAATGATAACAGGACACAATTGTATGCTGATATTTTGGATCAAAGATGAAAGTAGTTCTAGAGTAATTAGATTGATATCCCCATCCAGTTTATAAAGAACCAAAATGTACAACACACTCTTAACTAAACATTTGTGCAAATTTGTTTTCATTTTCTTTTATACTTTATTTTTTCCTTCATTCTTTTCCTCCCTCCCTCCATCTCCCTCTGCCCATCTTCTCTCTCTCCTTTTTCTTTCTTTTCTGACACTGTCCTGATACTTTTTAAGGGCCATAATGATCCGCTGGCCTTAGCCTCCAAGTGCAGGATTATAAGTGTGAACCACTACTCCCATTTTGCAGATTTACCCTAAATTCTCCCTTCTCTACATATCCATACTTTATTACAATGTTATGATTTCTAATTACCTTCTAGCTTACCCTGAAAGACCTGTTTAAAACTCCTTACTTCTGATCTTCATTATATTGGATAGGCCCTATCTTGGGGCTCATATACCAT